ATCTTAGACTTAACCTGTGGTGCGTGGGGGTCTGCAGTTTCGGCTTTCCGTGCTGCGGGATTCGGCTGACCCTCTGAAGTAATCAAGAAATGCCATGACCTGCTTGCTTGGTGGATCTGGGGGATTAGGAGCATCTGTCTGTGTTCGGTTTGAAGCAGGATAAGGCCCCAGCACACTTCTGGCAGCCAAGGACATCACGGGCCTCCCGGACAAGGAAGGGTGTAGAGTTTAGGACCTAAGGATTTTTGAGGGTTTTGCAGAAGGCTTTGGGATGTCAGGGGCTGCTCCGCAAGTTTGAAGCTCAGCGGTCCGGGCCCAGGACTCAGCCAATCCGAGACTCGCACACCCCCACCCCTTTAGGGTTTAGGGTTTAGGGTTTAGGGTTTAGGGTTTAGGTTTGGAAGCCCGACCCAAACCCTATTCTCAACACTGAAACACTTCACAACTTACTTCCCCAATGAGCCAGGGAAACAAAAGGTCAAACTTTCAGATTACTACTAAGTTATAAGAAACCAAAAAGCTGAAAGGTTGGGTATTGGAGAAGTGAGACAATATGGGTAGTTCTCTAAATTACGGTCCCTTTTTCGGTCCCCAAATTAGTACGGCAGGATTTATAAGAAGGACCCTAAAAGAGACCCAATGTAGAAAACTTCACAATATCACAACGGCTTCAATCATGCGATTGCTACAAGGAGGAGGCCACAACTCCTCGGTGACAAGAAAAATTCCTTCCCTCTACTTCACTGATCGTGGGACTTAGCACCCAGGATCATGATTGGGGCCAGGGTATCTATACTTATAAATGCCTATAACACTAAGCCCTAAAACCCTAAACCCTCGTAACTCTAATTAAGGTACCTATACCCATACTGGCTAAGTCCTCAGATCCTGCAAGTAGCCTCATGGAACAAGGAGACTCCTGAAACCGTGATGCCCCCCAGAAACCTCAAAGCCCACATCCCAAACTCTAGACCAAAAAAGCCTTCAATACCCCGAAAACTCTACACTCCAAACCCCTAAAATCCCTAAACCTGCCGCAACCTTCGTAGCGTTGCGCACCAGCGCACGGACTGGCTCTGACTGTTTGGCCTGTCTCGGGGGCTCAAGGCTCGGGGGACTCTTCTGCGGGTGTTTTGAGCCGGGCTGGGGTTAGGACACCTAGCGGAGGACCCGGAAATCTTAGGGCTTCACTTTCTGCAGGGCAGCTTGAATCGCATCAGGTCCCAGAACATCCCAACCCAGACAACCTCAATCTCTAACTGTTCACAAGAACCTCCGGCCCCAGGACTCTGGATTCTGCGTTCACTATGGAGAGGATGAAGGAAAAAGACGGCTCTGCCGAAAGATCGTGTCCTAAGATACTGACTAATTCAAGACTTAATATAAGGTTCTTAATAAGTAGAAGAGGTTTTTGGGGAATCATATACTATGAATATAATAAGGAACCCCCCAAATAGGATAGGTAATTATTTAGGCTCCTATATAGGAGCCTGAATAATTACCTATGCTATTTTCGGGGTTCCTTATTGTAAGTATAGTGTAATATACCCCAAAACCTTATTCCAATTATTAAGGCCTTTACATTCCGTGCTTTCGCTTAGACTGCTTAGACCCTTAAGCCTAATCCTGTGTCTCTGTAAATCAGTTTGTGCAACTCGCACGACGTATATTCGCCGAGCAGTTTGGTTGGTTCCTGCATCTGGACACTGTAGAACTTCTGCCCTTCTGAAGGGCAGCCTGCCGCTGAACCCTGAAACCTAAAAACCCAAAAACCTCAAACCCTGTGCCCTAGACCCCAGATTCTGAATCCACCCTAAACCCTACACCCAATAAGCCCTAAACATCCACTTTTACAGCAATCCCTAAGGGGCCCCTAAGCCCCTAAACCCTAAACTTCTCAATCCACCCCTAAACCCTAAACTCTACACCCTAAACCCTAAACCCTAAACCCTAAACCCTAAACCCTAAACTCTACACCCTAAGCCTTGAACTTCCTAAACCTTGAACCCTATACCTTAAACCCTAAACCCTAAACCCTAAACTTCCTGAACTTCCTAAACCCTATACCTTAAACCCTAAACCCCAAACCCTAAGCTTCCTAAACCCTAAACCCTACTCCCCTGAAGCCCTCCTGATCTGATCTTTGGAGGACGGATCCCAGGTAAGGGGCGTCGGTCGAAGGAGCTCTGGACCCATTTCTAGGGGTTTAGGGTTTTGGGTTTTGGGTTTTGGGTTTAGGGTTTAGGGTTTAGGGTTTAGGGTTCAAGGTAATATCGGGGCCTTAATACTTACCTATACTATTTTTTTGGGGGAGGGTGTCCTTATTGTGATTATAGTAGAGTATACCCCAAAACCCTATTCTAAGCATTAAGGCCCCTACGTTATGCTTTGGAGTGTAGGGGTTAAAGGGTTTAGGGTTTTAAGGTTTGGGTTCAGGGTTTGAAGGGTTTAAAGGGTTAAGGTTTAGGGTTTAGGGCTTAAAGGGTTTGGGTTTAGGGTCTAGGGTTTGCAGGGTTTGAAGGGCTTTGGGCCTAGGGTTTAGGGCCTAGGGTTTAGGGTTTAGGGTTTAGGGTTTAGGGTTTAGGGTTTAGGGTTAGGCTTGAAAGGGCTTGGGCTTAGGGTTTAGGGTGAGGCCTCTCCGAGATAGGGGGCCTTCTGGCGTAGAAGGGCTTCGGCTTTAATGGAATCGTTTGTTTAGGGGCCTAAATAATTACCTACACTATTTTGTACCTACACTATTTTGGGGGGTTCCTTATTCTAATTTTAGTATCATATATCCGAAAACCCTATTCTAATAAGTACTTGGCCCCGACATTACACAAACCTGCAAAACTCCATGTAAACTTGGAAGTTCCTTTGGAGGTTTATCCTCTTTGCTGGGCTGGGCGTGCTGCGCGGGGTGCTCAGGGCCTTCTTATAATTATAGTATACTACACCCCAAAACCTTTTTTGTTTGGATTTGGGGGCTTTAGCTAAGGTTCAGGATCTAAGTTGTAGGAATGGGGACCTTGACGGTTATGGGTTGTTGTGCTTCAGGCTGTTGGGTTGTCGGCGGAGGGTCATGATTTAAAGTTATAGTCTAGAGCTGCAGGCCTGGATGTCAACGGTGTTTTGGGAGGCGTAGACTGTCCGGGTCTATGAGTCTGGGATTTGGGGGTTTCCGAAAATAGAGGACCTTAATATAGCACCCTAATGTGTAGGATCCTTATTATAAGGACCCCAAAATAAGGTACCCCTTGTTTTCGAAAATTCCCAGCCTCTGCACATCATTTTCACCGAAGTGTGTGGGTTTCGCACAGAAACAGACCGTGTTGGTGGGTGCAGGGCTAGACGGTTGAGAACCTTGCCGATAAGTTGTCATGGGACCGGGGCGCATGGTTTCGCACTCTTGAATGATATCGCGACTCCACTCCGAAGGTCAGGGCGCCATAGCCATAGCCTTTGCATGCATCCATTTGCCCAATTACCGCATAACTATGCAGTCATAACTTACTGTTTTGTCGGGTTTGGGGCTACAAGTAACTAATTCAGATAGCCCAGGATTTGCAGATGCCTGTGCAAGTTTTGTTCAGCGTCGAAGATGATGGGCTTGCCTTGACAAGTTTTCTAGTGGCGTAGGGGAAATCCCTGAAAGCGCAAACCCTTCCTAAACCCGCTCAGCCCTTAGAGCCCCAAGCTCTGTGCCGTTAAGGTTAAAGCCTAAACCCTAAACCCCGTATACCCTAAACCCTTGAAAAGGTCATCATCTTCTTCCGCGCCTGCATCCTCCCAACCTGGGGCAAAGGCGGGTGTGTGTATTCTGGACAGTCTCAAATTTTGCTGCAGGCTAAGATGGGTAACGTCGTTGCGAAGCCAGTGGGGCCGGTGCGGATCTTGCGATAAGTGTAAAATGGGGGCCTTAATAATTACCTATATTATTTTGGGGGTTCCTTATCATAATTAATTATACTATAAAAGGCGCCCAAACCCGATTATTAAGGCCCCTACAGTAGCAAGTCTATCCGGGTGATAAGTAAAGGGAGATGCTCAAAACAGCGGAAGCTTCTGAGTGGCCTGGCGCGCCCTCAATCGTGGCTTAGACTTGCTTTCGGGATCTCCTTCAACGACCCTGCACTACCCATAGACTCCGTTGTAATTCCTTTTTGTGCTTTATAGTTCGGTTCCCTAAACCATAAAACCCTCAACCCTAAACCTTAAACCCTAAACCCTAACCCCCCCCAGCTAGGAGGGAGCCCATGGGTACACCCTAAATTCGAACCTACTTCGCGGAGTGCGTGCAGAGATCTCGACCTACCCAGACATCCTGAACAGAAAGGCTTGAAGATTTAGGGTTGGGGGGGTCTAGAGTTTAGGGCTTATAGGGCTTATAGGGTTTAGGGCCTTGGGTTTGGAGTTTAGGGCTTGTAGGGTTTTAGGGTTTAGGGCCTATAGGATTTAGGGTTTAGGGCCCACCACAAGTTCCAGCAACAAGCCGCGAAAACCTGGACTCTGCCCCTGGCCAGGATGCAGAGCTTGTGTTTGCTAATCTCTCCAAGACGATCCACCGCGGGCGGCGCTCCAAGAACTTTCGGTGAGATTTTCAGGCCTTCGCGCATTGTTTCTAGAGGACTCTGTGTAGAAACTGGCGGCGCAGTAACTTCTAAAAACATGCACGGCGCCCTTGCAGTGGTCCCTGGTGTCGACGCGAATACTTTGCTATCATTGATAGAGTTCTTAGTAGCCATGTCCTTTCATTAGTTGACCAGCACTCTTGATGGGAACCACCTCCAACGTCTGTCCGGCAAGTATGGTATGTGTTGCAGTGTCGTCGGGAGCTTGACCCTCGACTGTGAGTCATGCCGCAGTACATTGTGGCTGACAAGAAGTTCAGTGTAGCAGCTGTCGGCAGCCTCCCCGCTGAAATGCTGCAGCTTTCGCATGTCCCGAAATGGGCACTCCTGTCTGCATCGACTCTGGTCATGTTGGCACTTGTTTGGATGATGGGGGTCGGGTGCGATGACATGTGCCGATACGATCAGTTTCGCGAGAAGCTAGAGCGTGAAGGTGACATATGCCAGTATGTCGAAGCTCTTGTCAAGATGGCCGGCAGTGAGGTGCAGGGGCTTTCGAGTCTGAGAGGAGTTTGTGACTTTTGCTCCAAGCCACCGGCACCATGGGAAGACATTGATTGTTGCGCCCTGCTGTCCAGCCAGCAGCTGAACCGAACTGAAGACGCAACTAGCATCAAGCTGCTCGAGCAACGTGTGCTTCAGGTTCGAGACATGATTCATGCTGCAAATCGGACGATCGGCAACAATTCCATGGCAGGAAGAGTGCTTGCGGCTGCTCGTGAGAACGCTGCCTCGAACCTGCAGAACATCCGGGCTGTGCTGAGAAGCCATGCTAGAGACTTACCAGCATTTCGAACACACTCTGATGGAGAGGTGGGACAACCACAGACGAGTCAGCTGCAGGAATCAACCTCATTGAGTTCATGGTTTGGCCAGCAATCAACCGGCCCTTCATGGCTTGTCCGGCAACCAGATCGCAGTCAAGAATCCTCGCCGTTGACTTCATGGTTTGGCGGACGTGAAGGGCCCGGACCCCAACAAACGGGGCCCAGTCATGAGTTTGCGACATTGGGTTCATGGCTTGGTGGATATGCAGGGCCGGGACAGCGACAAACCACTCCCAGTCAAGAACCCACTCCACCGAGTTCGTGGTTTGGCCAGCAAACCAGCCCGAGTCAAGAATCCACGCCATGGCTTGGCGGATCTCAGCAAACCGGTCCCAGTCGTACATCTGCGGCATTGAGCTCATGGTTCGGTGAGCACGTTCCCGGTCAAGAATTATCCTCGCAGCAGAAGCAAAGCCTCACTGGTGACGTTGTTTCCTTTTGGAGCACCACATTGACGACAGTCTCTACAGACAGTGACGGCGCACATCATGCAGATGACGAGGGTACCTCGAGTCAGAGCAGGGTCATACAGGGGGCCGATGTTGCAGTTACTGCCATGCGACGGCGGCTGCGGTGGCCAAAGCTGCGAGGTTCGTCCTCGATGCCGTTGCTGAAGAACCAGCAACACAGTTTCTTGAAGCCACTGCAGAAGAAAGGGCTTTGCCCGCTTCGGAGGTCGAGACGGCTTTAGCCAGTGCTGGAGGCGGAGGCTATCCTGCAGCCGGAATGGAGGAGGTTGCAGACGATGAGACGCAGCCTGATCCGTTCTCCAGCTCAAGCTTGGCCAAGACCGAAGTAGAAGGTCCTGAACCCTAATCCCTAAACCCTAAACCCTAAACCCTAAACCCTAAGTCCAAAACGTGGTTGCTGCAGGGCATGAACCTGCAGGGAACGAAGCAGAGCCTCAGGATGGCGAGCCCGAACAGCTTGCGAGTGAAGCAACTGCGGTGCAGACTTGGAAGCTTGAGGCTGCAGGCCCGGGCTATGGTGTGGATAGGTTCACATAGAAAGTTTATGTACCAATCAGCTGGAATTTGTGAACTTCCATCCTTAACCGGAAGCCTTGGCACCCCCCCCCCCCCCCCCCAACTGCTGAGCACTTGCTTCTGCTTTCCTTGATCATGAACCCTGTGAGAAGGCACGAGGCCGGCTACGAAGGACACCGACAATCGAGGGAGTCAGCTTCACTTCGGGAGTTGCGGTTCTAGTGTTCTCGGGTGATGGCCGTATATTGATAAGGTTGATAGCATTTTGCTCTGCATCACTACTGCCCATAAGGAGGGGCCGGCAGAGGATGTGGCCCGGGAGAAACTCGCAAAGTCCGGGAGTTCTGAAGACTCCTCTTCTGGCGATGCGTTGTTGCAGACAGGTTCTTTGCCTGTCCATTGAAGCAAATTTTACTGTTGCCTGTTAGAGGAAGATGTCAGATCTCCAATTCTTGAAGTTGTTTTGCAGGAGCCTCCAGAGCATCGAAGGCTTGAACATGAGTTGCAAGTTGTCATTGGTTGGCGCAGGACATCGAGTCGAGGGGCTTGTGCTTTCCATCATGGGGCAGATGGGTTCAACCGGCAGTGTTGACATAAAAACCAACAAAGACCTTCCTGTTCTCGGTCTGTTTTGAGAAGATGATTTTCTAGTTGGTGGGGTGTCAGAATATGGTTCCTGTCTGGTTCACTGAAATAATTTGTATCATAGGGCCCCACATAAATTCGTCTACACCCGACAGGACAGGTATGTCATTTGACGAACGCTCGCTATCCAATTCCGAGCCCTAAACCCACAATCCTAGCATGGTTTGATGATCAGCTGAGGATGATCAGCCATTCGTTCTCCAGTGTGAGGACGCTTCCCGCTGATTTGACCGTAGCCAAGGGCCTTAATAATTAGAACAGGAT